CGCGGGCAGCAGCTGGCATTCCTTACTCTCAGGGCAGGGCAGGCGCTCGCAGCGGCTGCAAGACAAGGGGAGGGGGAGAAGAAGGGCAGGGGTTAGCAACCGTTCGGCCGGGAGGACGACAGCCCAGGACCGAGGGGCGCCGGGCCCCAGCATCCCTGAAGCCCGCTGTCCTGGAGCTAAGCAGGCAGAAGTCCGACTCAAGCGCTTCATGCAGAAGGTGGCCGCTTTGAGCTGCCCAATTAACGTGCCCGGGGGCCTGGCTAGCTTTGAAACCCCCCCGGCATGCTCGGCTCATCCCGTTTGGCCTGGAAAGCTAATCAGGGTTAGTGCCGGGCTGGGAGAACTCCCAGGGCGGTAAGCCTGGCTGGCGAGTGGCGAAAACCCCCATAGAAGAGTAGGGCCAACAGCTTCCCTACTGCGCCCAGGAAAACGCCATCGATGGATCCGTAACGTCAACCAGAATTGAGCTCCATTTGAGGGATGCTTAACCTTTAAGAGCAGCTGGTCTCATCCTGGCTAGTAAATGGATAGGAGACCACCAGGAGTCCCAGGCTGCAGTCTCAAAAGAGACTTTACCCTTTAAAACAGTGTTTCTGAACCTCAGCAACTTTAAGCTGTGTGGACTTCGACTCCCAGAATTCCCCAGCCAGCATTTTGCTCCACTTTTTCCGCTTTCAAACAAAATGGCAGCACAGAAATGACCTTGGCTGATTTTGAAAGTTAAACAGGGTTAGGTGCTTTCCTGGCACTTGGATGGGAGACCACAAGGAAATCTCAGGATTGTAAGCTGTGTCTGCTGGGGGAGTCTCAAAAAAGTCAATGGCAGTCACAACTATTGTACACAAAAAAGGGGTATAGCTTAGCTTGCATACTCGTGACCCCGCAGGGAGGGGGGTCTTTTTTAACCCCCCTCCCTGCAGACACTCCTAATATCCACCCTCCCTTTTTGGGACCTTTATTTATAATATCCAGGGACAGCACGGTGTTTCTGGACACTTACAGGATTCTCGTGCCAAATTCTAAAGAGGCACGAAGATTCAAAGAAATACCTTCTTGCATTTCCCCCCGACAAGCATAGGATTTTAGAGTCAAAGGAAACATTTTAAAAAGAGGAAAAACCGCTGATTTTGAAATATATGGTTAGACACAGAGATGCTGGTGGCGATCAGTTCTTTCAGAAAGTCATCCATGTCTTGATCGGGCTGTTTGGCCCCCTACAAGAGGCATCCCGGTGGGATTATTTCACTGCCAAGAATCAGTTGCCAATTCTACAGGTTTGGGGACCAAAAGTCATGAGTCTCATGTACCGGTTGCTAGCGGCCATTAGCATTAAAGCTTCAGCTCCAATTGGGGTCCAAATCTGCCCATGGGGGGGTGCAGCATCACGAGTGCATGCGTGCCTGGGGAAAAGGGGCAGGGCCTCAATTGCAGCACCACGCCCACCATCCTCCCTGTGGACCCCCCTGGACAGAGGTCCATGTCCATGGGGGACCTTGAGCTGAACCCTGGAAACCCAGCAACCCAACAGAAACCCCTAAAACATTCTCTGTGCACCGTGACGATTCTCCGTGCACGTCACCATGGATGAAATCGAAGTGTCTGAAAGCGGAAAAAGGGGAGCCCGCGTCCAACAGCCCTGGAGTGTGAAAGGTCTCTCTGCGTAGCTCCTTGCAGGACTCAGCAATTATATTACCCACCTAAGCTCAAAAAACAACGTATTCATGGGTTGGAACTTTTGCTGATTATTTCAGCTGAAAGTAGTGATGTTTTTTCAAGCGTACGTATCTTTGGTCTTCCACTGAGGGTACGGATATTTACCTTGTATGTTCGCGACTAAGATTTTGTTAAGAACAAAGATGTAGAAAAATACCCGTTCCAGTTAAAAAAAAAAAAGAGAGAGAGAGAGAGATTTTTTGCATTCGCAGACGTGCAGAAAAGAGAAAATGAAGGAGAACCTCAATGCCTCCACAGAATATTTTATCTCGTATTGGAGCTGATTTGTGGAATATTCCATAAACTGGGTGTTGAAACCTCGTTTTGTAGTGAGGAGTTGAAATATAAGTGAGACAAAGAACACATGTGTATTGAAGAAACACCTCTGTGTTTCGCACAAGGAGTCTCACGCCCATTTCTGAACCAGATGAACTCCCGGATGGAAAGCTACTAGATACATATAAGCAATACATATGAACATATAAGATACTCTATAATTCTTCTAGGGACAGGAAGGAGACATCATTTTAAAGGACGCATTTTGCCTTATTAGAACTCCATTGCGCTGCTAACATTTTATCTAGCTATTTTTAGCTGACAAGCTGCCTTGGTTAGAGCATAGCTTATTTATGATTTAGAAAATAGAAAATTTTTAACAGACAGGCATCCTTTGATAGGTATAAAAAGAGATACATATATCCGTGATAAGCAGACCAGCCAAATTATCACTGCCTTTGGATGATAATCAAATAAAAGTGAGGTTGACTTTTACGCCAAAACAAAGGGCGATTTTTCACAAATATTTCCTCTTACAGTTTGACACTATTGAAGACAGTGCAAAAGGAGAGGGATGTGCTTCGCCCTCCTTTTTTCCCCAAACCCCAACATTTATACCCACACATTACGGACTTCCAATCCGCCCCACAGCAAACCTGCTTCTTCTACAGTGAAGGGTGGGGAATAGACAATATGGTCTCACTCTGAATTTGGGTGTATTCTGGATGTCACCCGAGAACCAGGTTGGTGTAGTGGTTCAAGCCACCAGACTAGACATTGGGAGACGGTGAGTTCTAGTCCTGCCTTGGGCACAAAGCCAGCTGGGTGACCCTGGGCCAGTTGCTCTCTCTCAACCCTGGGAAGGAGGCGGCCAGGGCACACCCCTTCCAAAAATTTGACCAAGAAAACGGCAGGGACTAGGCCAGGCAATTGCCAGGAGCCAAGACCAACTCAAAGAAACACATACATACTAAGCCCAACTTCACAGCGGCATCTGACCGATGTAGTCTGGCTTCAGAAAAGCTAAGCTAATCTGGCTCACAGTTGGATGGGAGACCACCAGAAATCCCAGGACTGTAGGCCAGAGTAGGAAATCCAAAAGATATCTTCTGAAGAAGGCTATCCTGGTGCCAAGGAGATCCTCATATACCTCCAGGAGCTAAGCTCGACTCAAGGAAGACGTTATCTTTTTAGTTTATCTATATCAACCGCCCAACAGCCTCTCTTTTCCTTGTTCCAAATTGCTAAGTAGCCATAACTGCTAATTATGTACAGTAATCAGTAGAGCAAATGGCTGTTAAAAGGTCTGTTTAGAAACAGGATGGTACCGGTAGGATAAGACTGCTGAAGCATCCCCATGACACTTTATGTATCCATCATAGTTCCCCTCATCATTCTGTCCCATGATCCAGGGTGACCACCAGAGTCTGAATTTCAGCATCCGGTCACTAACTTTAGCCATGCTGCTCCAGAGCTTAGCAAACGGGTAAAGAATGAGAAAGGTCACTTGGACAGTGAGTTTCTTGGTCAACTTTGGTGGTACCAGCATCCTCAGACTACCCAAGGGAATTCAGACGGGGACTTACGTGTCTCCAGATTTGCGATAATTCTCCGGGCATTCCAGAGAAAGGCAGCGGAACCCTCCCTGAATATTAAAGCAGGTCTGGTTGTGTGAACAGGTATGAGCTTCAGTAAGACATTCATCAATATCTAGGAAGGGGAGAAGAGAGACAGAGAGGAGGAAAGAGACATTAACACGGGGTGTCCTAGTGAGAAATTGTTCATATTACAGCAGCAAACCTTGGTTGGGGACTCCATTTACATTCAAGTTCACAGGATTAAAGGTTCTTGCAGGGAGGGCAAGGGACCAAATTGAGGGATATGTAAGTGACCTTTCATCCAGAGAGCTGGGAAGGTCTATCTTACGGTTTAACAAAACTATTTGAGCTGCTTTTTCGTATCCGTTTCTTGCCCAGTACAGGTAGTCCTCATTTAGCAACCACAATTGGGACCAGCAACTCAGTCCTTAAGTGAAGTGGTGGCTAAGTGAAACTGTGCTTATGACCTTACCTCACCTTTCCTTTGCTTTACAGACCTGTGAAGGTCGTAAATGTGAGGATTGGTCGCAAAGTTACTTTTTCATCACCATCGTAACTGCAAGTGGTCGCTAAACGAGGACTGCCTGTAAAAGAGTTTTGTAATTCAGCTGTCTCTAAGCTTAATTTTTTTATGAATATGTGATTTCCTCTTTTTGGTAGTAAGACACTAATCACTAACAAGCTTGCAGGAATGGAGAATATATGTAGCTCAGGGTCGGAGTGTTTGTGTTCTCTCTATTTTTCCTACAGATGTTTCATTACCGTTCTCAGTAACATCATCAGGGCCATCGCATGATGAAACGTTTGCAAGAGAAATAGCCAACCTCAGAGAACCCCAACAATCCAACAACTAACAAACTCCTGGATTTCACAAGCCAAACACACGCTTGAAGCAACCTGCAAATCCAAACTGCTGTAGAAAAGGACGCCGAGTTTCACGTGCCAGTCTGGAGGACGACAGCGAGCTGATGAACTTCTATGTTTTGCTTTCTATTCTGTCTTACTCTTTCCTTTTTCTTTTCCTTGTTCTTTCTTTTTATTACTGTCTCTTCCTATGGAATTTTATGGGGGTCTTGTTTTCTCATTTTTGTTTTCAATTTTTATGTTATCATTTGTTGGGGGGGAGCCACCCATTAGCATTTTTAAATGCAGCTTTCTCTTTTCGCAGCAGAGGCCGCTGTGGCACAGATTCCTTTCTACTGATGGGACAAGAGCGATGTTTGGCAATTGGTGCGTTTTGCACCAACAAAAAGCAACCGGTGCTTCTTTGGTGCCCCAGAACCGGGTGGGTGGGGGAGAGGGCAGTGGTAGCCCCCCCAAACTTTTGTACAGGAAGCTAGAAACAGCATCTGCGCTCAGTTGCGCCCTCTACGGCAGCCGTCTCCAACAAATATGATGTTGCACCCTTATCGGTTGAAAAAAAAGTGAGTATGCTTCCCCGTGCAAGGATGTTACTTGTTTACAAATGATATACAATTCTCCTGTATGATGTGCATTTTAAAACATGTCAAATAGACATGTTTAAAAGGGTGCAAGAAAGGATGCAGTAAATAAATATAAATTGTTTAATCGCTTCCTGTTGTGCGTGGATGGATTGATGGATCGTCTGCCACCTGCATGCCACTTTGGAGGTGGGATTTTTTAAAACGACGCCGTTTCCTTCCCCTTTTCAAAGGGACAGGTGAGAGAGGGAGTGTTCGGCGGAGGGAAGGCAGCAAAGGGAACGTGGGGAGGATCAGGCCTGGTTAAGGGAACCAGCCAGGATTCAGGAGAATGCAGACGGACGAACAGCGAAGGCTGGGGAAACCTGCAAAGCGGGGTGGGGGGAGGATGCAAGCCAGTGGGAAATGCACCTGGTGGCAATGTGGGCGAGGAAGGGGCATCCAAGGCTGCAGGGCAACCTCTGGACTGGCCCACCCAGGGGTGGCACCTCCACTTCTCCTGGGTGAAGGAGTCCAGGGTTGGGACTTGCGTAAAGCCACTGCTCTGTTCCTCTATCTCGGTGGCCGCAGGCTAAAACCGGTGGTAGTGGAGGAAGCTGGAGATCCCTGGGAACCTGCAGGACCCCCAGAGATGACCGGTAGATCCTGGCTCAAGACCGGGAACAAGAATCCTTGGCTTTTATCCAAGTTGCACCTGCCAACTGGATTTCTGAGACTTACCCTGACAGTTCCGTGCGTTGGGGGCCAGCTTGTAACCGGAAGAGGGGCAGGTACACTGGAAACTGCCTGGCACATTAATGCACCGATAAGCACAGATGTGTCCCCCAGTGGGCAAAGCACATTCGTCAATGTCTGAAAATCGAAGAAAGAAAGAAGTCCTCATCTTGCAACGGTGGAGCCCTTTACGTCCAGAATAACTAACGCAGGGCCCTTTTCCCCAACCTGGCGCCCTCCAGTTACTTTGGATCACAGCTCCCAAAGTTACAGTTCACCTGGGAACCAGGTTAGGGAGAAAGCAGACTGACAACACAAGACCACATTGGGCGAAATCCAGCCTGAAAACATGTAAACATCCTTTCCCCCCAATTCTAGTGCCCCGGGACCGGGTTTACACAACATAACTAAGCCATTTGAAGGCCTCATGGGTGGATGGTCACAGCATGTCTATGTATTTGCTTATCTATTTTATGGCTTAGCGCATTATGTGACTCCGACACCTTCACCCAGGAATTCGAGCACATGCTGGAACTGAGCGTAGATGTTTAAGGGGAGAGGTCTGTCTGTCTATGGTGGCATAAAGTCAGGAGGAGTCTGGTAACACCGATTCCTCCTGGTTTTATGCTGGAATAGGGAAATATTTGGAACAGGATGCTCAGAACAAAATAGGGTGAAGACAGTGGTTTCATTTTCACTCTAAGCAGCTGAAAAGTTCCAAGCACGTCACCCCACTTGTTACTATTACTGTACAAACTTCTGAAAAACGCTGAAGTACCATTACTAGCAATCCTTAAAGCTTTATTTTACATATCATGAAAGAGTGTTCTTGCTCTAGGGCAGTGTTTCTCAACCTTGGCAGCTGTCAGATGTGTGGAATTCAACTCCCAGAATTCCCCAGCCAGCATGGCTGGCTGGGGAATTCTGGGAGTTGAAGTCCACACATCTGACAGCTGCCAAGGTTGAGAAACATAGTTGTAGGGAGTAATTTTTTTGTTCCTAAAAAGCGGATTAGTTGGTTTGTTTGCAAAGAAGGAGACCCACGATTAGGTGAAAAGTCAGAAGGAAAAAACAAATATGTGGTTGAGATCAGCATCATTTTTCAAGAGTTTTGCTCCTTTCTATGCAGCTGAATTTCCTTTAAAAGTTGGAGGGTCCAGGTCTTGCTCAGGCACACATCTGTAGATGTTGAAGGAAGGGAAGGGATTCTCTTTATTTATTTATTTATTTTTAAGTAGAATTTTTCAATACAGTAAAAGTATACAAAACGAACCAGCAAAAGGACAGAAAGTAAGAAAAAGAGAAAAAAGAAAAGGAATGAAAAGAGCAGAGACGGGTAGTCCTTGCTTAACAATGGTAACTGGGACTGGAATTTCCGTCACTAAGTGATGCGGTTGTAAAGCATGACGTCACGTGACAGCGCCCCTTAGCAACAACAGTTCTGGCAGTCCTCAGTTACTATCAATAAACGAGGACCTCGTGTGACCACAACTTCCAACTTTCTGCCAGCCTCCCCATTGACTTTGCTTCTGGGAAGCCGGCAGGGAAGGTCGCAGATGGTGATCATGTGACCGCGGGATGCTGCAACTGTCATAAGTGTGAGGAGGAGGAGGAGAGGAGAGGAGAGGAGAGGAGAGGAGAGGAGAGGAAAAAAGAAGGAGGGAAGGGGAAGGGAAAGGGAAAGGGAAAGGAAGGGGAAGGGGAAGGGGAAGGGAAAGGAAAAAAGAAGGA